CTGCAGTTGGGTTTAACCTAGGCAACATGCCCTGGTGACAGGCTCCAAACTAGAGATTGACAAAGCTGGTTATTTAGAAATTTGAAGTAAACTTAGTATTAGAATTATAATAAATTTGCTTATCAAAACTGGGGTCTGTTAATAAGTGTTTTCAACATCACAGGAAATGTTTTCAAGGTAATTAAATCAACTTCATGTTACAGATGTATTTTTCACACCAGTGGTTAGTCTGGATGTTGGTTGTTAACTTTTTCAAGCCCAACCTAAAATCTCCCATGTAAATGTGTTTCCACTTTACTCTCAGCCTACACTCATCTTTTCTAATTAAAATAATTTGGTATGCCGTGCTTAAAGGTTTTGCTAATGAAATACTTTGTGAATAAGTACATTTTTCCTCACACAGCCAAAGAGAATTTTTTAAGCAGTTAAGAAAATACTAAGAAGCCAGGTGAATCTTAAGAAAAGTTACTTTGATTGGTACTGGTTGGGGATGTGGCAAGTACTGATCTTGAGCAGGAAGCCAAAGCAGCCAAGGGATGCAGCATGGGCACCATCCACCCTACCCCCACCCTCATGGTGTGCACTTCTCTACTTACCAGAAACATCAAAGTGGACCTCGGGCAACAATGATGCCTCCATGTCAGGTCATATTGCAACCAAAGCACAAAGCACTCTGGAGGGGGGAGTGGTCTGTATGGAAAATCTGTGTACTTTCATCTTCATTTTGCTGTGAATCTAAAACTGCTCTAAAATAGTAAGCTCTTTAAAAATAGCTAAAGAAAGAACTTGTGCTTTCCATAGATAAATTACTTTGTACACGGGACACTTTTTTTTACAGTACTCTATTACTATAATAAACCAAATTAAGCTGCCTGTGGAGAGTGGATTATGAGAACTGAACATTGCAAGGAGAGATGCAGCTCAGCTGCTTTTCCTAAGATGTTTATCTGTAGGCTGAGATTGACACAGCCCCGGCCACAGAACAGGAAAATGCAGAACAGCTTTTTCTCCTAAACTGTTTACATTTAGAGAAGCAAGAATGCAGGTTACTCCTGTTATAATGTCATATCTCTCCCCAAGAGGTTTTATACCCTGTTTACCACTGGGTATGAAAGACTCACTGAGGAGGACTTTTGCTGCTTGCTTTGAGGCTTTTCACTTTGGGACTTTTGCTTTGGAGGCTTTTGGCTTTTCAGCTTTTGGCTTTTTGATGTGGGAGGCTTTGGAAGGGAAAAAGATTGCTGAAGGGAAAAGGATTACCAAAGGGAAAAAGATAGCTAAAGGGGAATTGCTAAAGAGGGGTTGATAGAAAGTCTCCACCGAGAACTTTAACATAGGCTTGAGAAAAGCTAAAGAGAACTGGGACAGAGAGAGTCTGGGGGCAAAGACTTTAGGAGAGATTATGCTAAAAACAGCTAAGAGAAAACATGGGACAGTGCGAGTCTAAGAAGAGAGACTTTAAAGAACAGAAAAAGAAGACTTTAAAAGCAAGGTTTTAAGAAAAAACTTTAGAAGCAAGGTTTTAAAGAATTTTAAAGGAGTAAGGCCTTAAAGAATAAAGGTAGAAAAAAGAAGCAATGAGGTTGGGCATCTCCACCTGAGCGCCCACAAACCTGACTGACCCCAGCTTTCTATCTGTCTGTCTATCCTGTGTCTTTTCTGCATCTCCAGTCACCCCCAGTTAGCCCCAGTTAGGTTCAGTAATAACCAGGAGCGAGAGAAAAAGCTTGCTCTCCACTGCCTCACAAAGTAGTTCAGTTTTAATGTTTTATGTGTGCAGGTTTGTGTGTATGTGTGAACACATGTATGTGAATACCATGTGACTACTGGGTCACTGAGCCAGTTAGTGTACTAAGATTCTATTGCATTTCTGGAATTTTTTTGGTTTTTTGTGAGTTAATAACCGACCATCATTTTGATTGCTCAATTTTTTTTGTACCTATCACCAACTCACTGCAAAAGTATCCAAGTCACATTTCTTCCCAAGTCACATTTCTTCCCTCAGGTCAGCCTGCACATCAGAGAGACTTTGCACTCTGATCACTTTTTCTTAGAGATATGACTCATGAGTCCCTTGGTTGTTCTGCCCCCCCCACACCCCCGCCTCCATCAAAACTGGTTTCTTGTAGATTCACAGATGGATGTTCTCTTGGGACTTCCCTTCCCCGTGATCCAGGAATTCCCCTTTTCTTTGGTTTGATTCATATTTCCCTGCCAGAGGCGCTCTCAGATGGCTGTAAAACCACGTCTAACACAGGCAACTGAGAAGTGGCTTGACCCTGTCTGGGTGGAGCGTGCAATCTGATACGGATGGAGATTTTGATGAGGAAGGTCCAAATGTTAGTATTTGTACGCTTTCCCCCACACCACTACCACCAGGATGACAAGTGTCCTCAAAAAAGACTGGCCAGGGTCCTGCCTGAGTATGCTGCTCCTGACAGCATCCAGAGTGAAGCTGAACTGGAGTTGGAGATTGCCTCTCCTTACCCACTCTGCACCCGCGTTTCAGAGGTGTCTAGTGCACCCGACTCTCGGGGACTTGGCGGAGGGAATTGGATGTTCCTATCGCCTTCCTTCTCCAGAGGCTTGAGTGTCTGCTTTCTCAGCCGGCCACTCTGCTACCAGAATATTGTTGTTTTCTCTCCTGTGGACATTTCACTTAGTACTGGGAGATGGAGGCGCTTGCGTGGAGGCTCATTTTGCTATACTGGTCATACTTCAGCTTCATTTTCTTCACGGCATAAATGCCATTCTGGTTTTTTTTTTTTTTTTGTGGTACTGGAGTTTGAACCCAGAGCTTCATGCTCGATAGGCAGGCACTCCAACACTTGAGCACTATGGCAGCCCTTTTTTGGGTTGGGTATTTTTTGAAATAGGGTTTCGTGAACTATTTGCTTGGCTGACCTCAAACCTCGATCCTCCTGATCTCTGCCTTCTGAATAGTTAGGATTACAAGCGTGACTACCAGTGCCCGGCTAAATGCTGTTCTTCACCTGCAATGAACAGCAGCACCATTTTCTGGCTTTGGTTCACTGCAGCTAACCCACCTCTCACTCTGCTAGTAGAGACCATTTGTATTCTCCCTGTAGTGAATGAACTGCCTGGTCTGTCCTACATGGTGGGAAGTTGGCTCTTTGGGAGCTATTCATCTAAGAATAAAGCAAGAAGATGGTTCCTTTGTAAATCCATCATCAAAATTTGGGTTTTATGAGTGATAGTTTTCAAATGTCAGAAACACCGTTTCCATTATCTGGTTGTCATGTGCAAGACACTGACTTTTTGTTGCAGTGGATACTAAAATAACTTCATCTCCCTATTAAGGGCTGCACACATAGGATGTGATCCTCTGCATCATGCAGCCCCACTCCTTACTTTATTTAACTTCTCGATTATTTTTGTTTCATTGAATATTTTATGGGAAATATGTCAGGTCAACCTTTTGTTTTTGAGTTCATCTAAAGCCCCACCTGTGGTGCTGCAAAGTAGCATTTCCCCTGTTTGTGACACTCTGCTATAGTAAGGATAGGTTTGACTAGCAGATGTGCTGGAACACACAGAGTTTGCACTGGATTTCTCACTGAATGACTTTAGTGCAAACAGGTCCATGTCATTTGCTATCTCTGTACAATATTAATTGCTGGGATACTAATTAAATTAAATTTACCAAGTTACTCACCAGAATTCTACTGCAACTGCCTTACAGTTTTGTTTTCTTAACATTTACAGAAGGACAAATTGAGAGAACATGAATTTTCTCCGCGAGGTTGTTTAAATTCAGTTGACATTTTATGTGGATTATAGTTGAACTTTAGTACGACATGCATTTTTAAGAACAGTTCCCTGGCTTCTGTCACCAGCAGGTTGTTTTTCCATTCATGCTGTCTTACATTGGCTGAGTCTGAAATGAACCCGGTTTTGAAACTTAACATTTTATTTTCTGAGCTAACTATATGAGTTTGTAGAGACCTACACGTATTGATAGTGTATCTGTAAATGATAAAAGTAAGGTAAATACTTAAATGTTTTTATCCACCCATAAAGAGCCATATAGAAACAGGATTTTGGTGTCAAGTTACCAATTTTCTAATACGTCCTTTCATTAAACTTAGTCTTTCTCTTTTCTCTCTTTCTTTTTTTTTGGGGGGGGGGCAGTGTTGTTTAGACAATTAAAATTAGGGGAAAACAAAAAGAGACTGAGAAGACAGACTGCTCCTGCCTACAGAGATCTAATTGCAGATTGACATTCACACTTAATACAGGAACAGGGCTCCTGTGAACATTCTCCATCTCTAATGAAGACAGACTTTCCCACACTATTCTCTGTTGCAACACCCTCAGCTGCTTCTCCAGCTCATCAGGGTTGTCTTCTGACTCTGGTACCCTGTGCTACGCCACTTGGCACTCTGGGTAGAAATCATGTATCACACCTCACCATCAGGACCCAGCCAACCCTATTTCCTCACCACTTTCCAAAACTCCATCTCTCTTGCCAACGATAAGTAGACAACTTAGTCTCCTTCCCAATGTCATTGTCTTTGCCTAATGAACTTTCTGCATCATCCGTAATCCAGCTTGAAATGTCAGCTCATCTTTGGGCCTTCCCTTGATTCTTCAGGATGGAGTTTGCTTGCTTCCCCTAAAGGTTCCCAGAACACTACTTGAGAGAACCCATCTTGTGTGGTATACCTCCCGCTTCCCACCTCCCAGAGAGTGGACTCTTTGGGTTTGAAGTTGTGGTCCAGCACCCATCCTGGGTTTTCACTGGTCACGGGTTCTTGCTGAATTTTTCACAGGTGAAAGGATAGTGCCAGTGTTGAATAAATAAATGCATCTGTTTAAAGCAAGAACCAGGTTGGTGCTGCAAACTGAATTTAGCTTCTCCATTCTGTATTTATTCTACCATTAAGCCTTTGTTTTCTTAGAAAAAGTATCGTTATACTTATCAAAATAAGTAGTAGCTATAATATAGCAGAAGAAAGTTCTGTAAGACAGAGCACCCATCGACAGTAGTGAGCATTATGAAATGTCAAAAGGCCTCATTCCTGGTCATCCAACAAAAAGCAAAAAGAGATTTAGGTAGCAACTACAGAAATAAAGGATGGACTCCCTGAATGTGAGAAATAAACATGGGTATGTAGTTCAGTTTGATTATCTTAGCTGTAGAATTCTGGTATAGAGAAACATACATATTTTTAGGGGCTCTGGACAGGGCATAGAGATGACTGAAGAATTGCAAATATTGTTGTATTAAAAATGCAAATATTGTTTGGACTGTTTAAAAATGTGCTGATTGAAATAACTATAATAATAAAATGATAGTTGAGGTTATTCTGATGATAGAAGCTGATTTATGAAATTTTATTCTTCCAAACTCTAGGAAGGATTTCCAGGTGGGTTATGAAGAACCATTTTTTCTGACGATATTGGCCAATATTGGAAATAAAGTTACAAGTCGAAGAGACTGCCTTTTGAATTTGGACTTGTAGCCTGTCTTTTCCCTATTTGTGGCTGGTCATTCATTTGTTTTATTTATTCATTTATTTTTGCAGTACCAGGGATCAAATGCAGGGCCTTTTGCTCAAACCAGGCAAGCACTCAATCACTGAGACACACCCTAACCCTATTTATTTTTTTAATTAATAAAATGGAATATTTGTGGTGCATTATTTGTAAATACCTCTGTAAATTAGTGAATTGAATTATTTTAATGTATTGTGCTTCATGTGCTTAAAAACAGGTTGACATTTAAATATTTGGCCTCACTAAGATAATGACCTAGATTTCTGGTCCTGGTGTTGAGGCAGGTTAGGTTAGGGATAGTCTGGGACTGCTCCCCTCTTGACTCAAGAGCTCCTCCCCCCGGCCCGCCAGGTGATGATGATGTATTCTCTCTCTACCTCCAATTTCAAGGTGATATAAAAACGACCTTCCAAGAGACCCCAGCCTTTCTTCTGCTCTTCTCTGACCTGGCAGAACCAGTGACTCCCCTTCCCTCAATAAAGCTATTCTACCTCACCTCATCCACGTGTTCGCCCAGAACACAAGGACCAAAATCTTCTGGAAACACTGTTTGACGTCAACAGTGTGAATTTTTTTTTCTTAGCCAAGTGTTTGATATTCATAACATTTATGCAGCACAACCGTTCTGAGGGCACCGTGGTGTCCAGAAAGCATTTGTGTCAGACCTGTGGCACGTCACGCTGTTTGTTGTTTTGTTTTGCTTTTACTATAATCATTGTGATTCTTGGCTATTACCCACTAATACCCCAAAAAGCCTATAATCCATTTTCTGTTGTGTCCCTTGTAGGTACTCTGGTCTTTGGAAATGGGTCACTGGATTTCCGAAGAGCCTTTCGAACTTTCTAACTACTTCCCTGCAGCTCCCGTAAGTCTAGTTGTTTTGTGATATAACTGTAATTTGGTGCTCTCAGGAAGTTACTACAAGCATAAACTCAACTTGTTACCGCAAGAGCAGTCATGCTCAAACTAAAAAGACATATCCACAGAACTTAGCACCTTTTTCCCCCATTTATTTGTGAGATCACATGGGAGAATGTGTGCATATTCTGCAGAAAAGTAGTAAGACATGTAATCTCAAGAAAATTGAATTATGAAAGCTGCAGGAATGAGGAAAACAGAAATGAAAAATAAACTGGATTCTTGGGATGGTAGCATCCTATCTTGTTCACTTTTTTAAAAAAGTAGCTAATGCTTTCCCTGTTAGTAATTGAGATTGAACTGATAAGTGTAAAAACTGTGACTTGCTGCATTATGGTAATGGTCATTGTATTTTGATGTTTTTCCTAAATCTACTTCAACTTTATTGATTTTTTTCAAGAGTTTCAAATGTTTAATGGAAAAATTCCAGATTCTAATTTTCTTTTTAGGATTAAGGAATAATGGAGTAGAAATTTAAGGTCTGATTGGAAGCAGAATTGTGCAGATGTTGGCTTTCATTTTCAAAAGTGTTGTCAGGTTTGAGACAGTTTATTCTTTCTAAAGAGGCGTATCTGAAAGGTAACGGATCTCTGTCTGCCTCCGTCTTGCGCAGTTGTGTGCACAGGCACTGGCTAGCCCTGTGACTGTGGCCCAGCAGGGGGGCAACTCCACACTCCAGTCACTATAGTCGTTTAGATTGCTGCACTGTTTTGCTTTCATTTTTAAGATTACTGTTTTGGTTTCCTTTCAACTTTGTAAATGTTTTCTTAAGGAGAGAAAAAAATTCCTCCCCAAAATACTGTTTGTTTGAAATACGGTTAAGGAGTTGACGTATAAAGTGAAACACATATTCCTCCCACTGTCTATCGTGAGAGGTATGGATAACTCTGAGTAATGTAACAAGGCTTGTCTCTCACATTCCTTTTTCCTGTCTCCATGAGAAATTGTGACAAACTAGGCAGGTGGCTGCCAGTTTTTCCTGTATGGTCATCTCCCCACTTCAGTACGTCATTTTGGTCATCACTGGAATACCAAACATTGGTTGTCTTTTGAAGCTGTGAGGTTTTTCTTACTATCAGATGTGCTTTTAACTTGACACAAAACCCTGTTGCGATTTTCAAGCCTTTTTGGTTGTAACAAGAGTCCTCAAAGGAGAAGGGTCTTCACTTGGGAGAGCAGCTTGGAAGGGCAGCACGGCAGTTGTGGATCAGGGCCTGAGCCCTTGCGAGTCCACAGACTGACTCAGAGCACAGGGCAATGCATGCAGGTCTAAGGGAAGTGGAGATGAAATGAATTAATGAAAAATGGAATTCAGAAAAAATAGTGTCATGGCAGGGTGGAAGAAACAGTTCCATAAGAAAAGCTAGCTGCAGATTTGACTCTCAGCTTCCCAGCAGTTGACTCAAAAATGAGTTCTTAATTCATCACACTAACATTCATTAATATAAATTGTACTATGAAAACCTCAAAAGGAGTCAATATGATCGGAGTTAGGTTTTTCGGTCCTGAGCATAAAGCTGTGCTCTCAAACTTTTCTATAAACGTTTGAGTATGCTATGAGTAGCAGATTTTATTTTTGCATTCTAAAAAAATCTCATTTTCAGTTTGCTGATGGACACGAAAATATTATTAATGCAAATTGTATGTTTCCTTAAATAAATTTAGAAGTGAGTCTTGAGAAATATAGCTTTGTAAGAGGCTTAAATGGAATAATTGTTCTCAGCCACAAATTAAATTTTAGCATAGTTTTCTAAAATACATCTTGCTAGAGAGAAAGTAGAGCTCTGTATAAAACTGAGAAGATAGTCTCTGTCTTGAAGTTAAATGCATAATTTTCTTCACTATATTTCACGCTTTCCCTTGTCATAATGGCATAGCTGTTTCATAACTGAATTCCAAAATTGTAAATATTATCATAAAAGTTAAACAGAATCGTTTCACCTAATAAGTTATATTTAATTGCTAAAAATGCCTTCATATTTAATAGCCAGGCAGAAAGGATAAAACACTCTCCATATAAACCGATGTGACACATACTCCTACTGGAGTATTCAGAGCCCCTGGAAGTTTTCACCTTAGAAACTTGGAATATATATTCGAGCATTAACTTAAAAACTAAGCTAAATGTGCTGTTTTCAGAATGAAAATTTAAAGCACCTAAGCGAAGTAATGCACTAGCTGTGTTTTTTCCCAAATATTAAAACTGTACTTAGAAAATCCCTGAATATATATTGATATGGCTTGGAGAAGGCTGTCTTCCTTTTAACTGGGACAGTGACGCTGTGTTCAGGACCCAAGGCTGTTTGCACAGTCTATACCCAGTGCGTGGAGAACCGCGGTTCTAAGACTCTGTAGTGTGTAGCGTAACACTCTGCTTTCCAGTTATTTACTGATACGCTCGCAGATGCTTGGTTGCGACAGCACAGCCAAGTCACAGCAGTCACTGGTCTGGCTCTCTCACCTTCGCACAGATATTCTGCCAGACCACAGTACCAGGGCACTGCTTGCTTTGGATTTTCCCTTGGTTCGTTAGCGATGCAGGCTTCAGTGACAAAGTTCATAGGCTCTAGCCTGGTGCGTGTGTTCTGTGGCACCCAGGAGCACGGTCTGAGGCAGAGAGGAGAAGGGTGCAGCGGTGTCTGTCAGTGCTGTGGGAGGAGCCTTTGAAAACAGAACCCTCTTCCCAGGTGTGCGTGGGCCTTTAGAAATCTGCTGGCCGGATCATCATGGTTGTAGCCTTGAGCGAGTAACCTGACCCCTTCCAGTAGTACCACTTAATTCCGTTGAACTTGTTCATGTTCTGCCTTTGTGGATAGTACATTCCATTCAAGTTGGACGGACCACATGCATCAAACCACCAGCCTGTGAAAGCAAAACACAGAAGGGATTACGACCTGGGTACCACCACCTCCCCCACCCCCTTCCCCCGCTTGGAAGTGCTCGGCTGAGCTGCCGGTCACATTCTCCACCCCTGATGCAGACACACACGCGTTGTCATGGCTGGGGCGAGCTACACTACACTGACATGCAGTCAGAGTTTCGTCGTGGCAAATGTCCTTATAAGTTTTCTAGCTTCTATTGTCTTGCTCTGTAGAAAAACCATCAGGTGTCCTGATGTGATAAAGGCATAACCTCATTGGAAAAGTAGAAGTGAGTGAGTAGAAATCTCCAGAACCATTGGATGACTCTCAGCCAACATTACTTTCCAGCCCTGGCCTCATGGTGGCCTGCACGATTCAGGCTTCCCTCTACCAAAATTGCTTTGGTTGAAATAGAACCCACATGTCAGGTACTCAGTGGAGCTAGATTTAAAAAGAACTTTAAAGCTAGAGCTGGTCAGCAGGGGGCGCCCGGCACAGAGGCAGGGAGAGGACCTCCCCTACTCTCAGCACACTCACATGGCAGCCCCCATCATAACCCACACACAGGAGCACGCAGGAGCCTGGGGTTGCCAGAAGAAGGAATGACATCCACGTACGTGTGCCGATCTGAGTACATCTCAAAAGCGTGGTGTGGGAGGGGCACAACTTGTGCAATGTCATTTCAGTACAGCAAACAACCTGAGTGTTATTGATGTCTTCATACTGAGTAAAACAAAGTGAATGAACCTCAACTCAGCGTCCACTCTAGGGCAGGTAGTATTAGGAGGGAAGCTTCTCCAGTATCTGTAATATTCTACTCTTGAAAAAAAATTCAAGTCAGGCATGGTGGCATTAACCTATAATCCCAGCATTTGGGAGGCTGAGGCAGGAGGAGTGTGAATTCCAGGCCAACCTGGGCTACATAGCAAGACCCTGACTCAAAACAAAACAAACAAACAAAAATTGCTTGTAATGAATCATATATCTAGTGTTTCCACATCACCATGTGTCCTCATGATGGACTCCCAGCATGAGAAGTTCACACTAGTGTAGGTGTGGCAAGAAGTCTGTGTGTTACTCAGACTTCTTGGAATATTCAGGAAATCCAGTCACAGAGCTGTCCCTTTCGGAGCCTGTTGCCTGCCCATCTACAGAACTCACACTCTAAAAACACCCAGCTGCTTGAATGGCTGCTTCCTTGTGGTCCAGACCAGTGGCTGGAACTTGGCCTCTGTACAGCCCAGACTCCACTTTCTCTCTTGGGTTGTTTTGCTTCTCTCCAGTCAATCCCCCAGTTCCATTCTCAGACCCTAAATCTTGATCTGGGTAAATAAATACACTGTTTCCTTGGCTATCACTGCAACTTTCCTGTCCTGGAGCAGCAACCCACATACGGGTGGTCTAAAGACCACTAGCCTCTCCAGCGTGTGGGAATGGCCAGCAGGAAAGGATTATATGGTTGTGTCCCCAGGTCCCTCACCCTGACCCTCCTCCTCTTTGTCATTTGGCTTTAAAGAAGATCATTATGGTGGGATGAGGAAGGCTAGCAGCTTTTTACAAAATCTGTACAGTACTTTTCTCTCCTTGAAATAAGTGTGGCTAATGGCCAAGACCCATGTCCTTGAGTGGCCACTATCTGGTCTCAAGAACCACACTATTGATTTTGTAGTGGGGCCTAATTCTTCCAGTAGTAAAGAAATGCAATTTAAAGTCCTGACAACTACTGAATTTCACAAATAAATCCTCTACTGTCAGCAATATTTAACTGAAGTGCAAATACAGGATAAGCTTAGATCTTTACTCCTTTTAGCAGTGACTTTGCTCATACAATTTGGGTTCTCCGCTAATTAACCTCTGCCAATGTCCGTTTGCACTGTTGGCAGAGTTCTTGTTGCTATTTTAAACCTTTCAATGTTTTTAAGAACTAACTTGACAGCATTTGTCAGACTTTTTCCTTATCTGAGTCACTACTAACTGGTCCCATCACTCAATTTCTAAACTTCGACAAAATCAGAAGAATGAGTTTTCTTATAGTTGCTTCCTCTCATTGAGCTCTTTCTGAGCACCAACCCAGCTGTCTACGTGACGACCACAACAGGTTTTTGCTTGTGGGGACAGTCTCCATTTTCATTTTTAAAGCCAGCTGAAACAAAGGGTGGAAAATAAGAAAGGTCTTGTTTTAAACTCAGCAACCACCCATTTTAGTCTGCTGCACTATGAAAGCAGGTTGATTAATTCGTTGTTTGTGTTCATAAGTGTTTCCTGTGTATTAACAGATCTCTATGAGAAAAAGACAGCTAAAAACTCCTTGTTCAAACATTAAATTATTAGTTGGAAAGAGAGCAAAATGGAGTCAAGCCTTCTCTCTGCCATCTGATATTCGGCAAGTACAAACTGAGGAGAGCTTGTTTGATTTCAAGCACCCCTCTGTGTGCCAAGCCTGCGTCCACAGGACTTGCAGCTGACCTTAATTCATGTTCTCACTTCAACCTCAGGTCAAAAAAGGGAAAAGCAGATTTACCTGTGTCAAGCTAATCTGTGTATTTATGAGATTTTGGACACTGTCATCAGTCAGTTTGAGGTCCAAATTGCCAGCCTCTCAGACTGTGAAACCACTGCTTGCCAACACAAATAGGAAGAAGGAGCATCACCTACCTCCTGTGAGCATCTGCGAGCATTTGCAGATACATTTGTCGTTGTCTGCATCCTTTGTGCTAAAATCATTTCCTGGTTGGCTTATGCTGCTTATTTTGCCAGCCGTGCCTGTAAGTCCTTTAAGGTGAATCCTGTAAGCATGCAAAGGAAAAAATAAAAGCTGTAATTGGCTTGGGTTGTTGATTTGCTGTAGTGGAAAGTTTTTCACGGTGAAGAATTCCATTCTTCAGCATGCATTCTGTGCTGGTCAGTGCATGCCAGTGCCTACTCTGAACAAAATATTTTGCACTGGTATAAACAGGAACCAACTTATCATCAAATCCTTCGGCAATGAGGGATGTTTTCATGAAAACTACAACACATAATCGCTTGCACGAGTATCAGCAGGGACCATGGGGCCCTATAATTTATTTTCCTGCTGCTTTCAGATAAACAGAAGAGGGGACTGTTCTATGAAGGGACCTCCCCGACCCCCAGTGGAAAGGAGTCTGAGATGACTGGACAGCCTCACAGACATCATTGTTTTCCGTGGGGGTGGGGCTGTGGATGGAGTAGGCAACAGACAAGGAATGGCCTTGACTTCGGGGTAAAAATCTACACAACTGTTTATAAACAGGCATCTGTGTGCCAGCAAGGAGAACCCAAGGAAAGAGACAAGTGCGTGATTTTTTTTTTTTAATTTCCCCTAAGACCACATGATTGCTATAGATAGCCCATGGGCAGGTGGTGCAGGACAGGTCAGAGCTGGCATTCACATGGTGGGGTGGTTGTGGGAATTTGATGCTACAGTGTTGGCACACAGGCCTCTTATGCTCAGAGCTGGCTCAGCGTTCCCGTGTCCTGGATGGAGACATACATGTGAAGGTCAGGGTCAGGGTCCCCCAGAGCAAAATCCTGTAGTGGTGGCAAGGAAGTGTCCTTTGAGTGCCCCCAAATTATGCTCATCTTTGTGAAGACTAATGACACTTGCTGACTACTATCTTGGAAGTAATGCAGTTTTGCAGCACCCATGTTGGAACAGAGTGCCAAGAAGACAGGGGAGGTCCCTCGGCTCTAGGCACGGATGCAGGTGTGTGCAGGGAGAGCTCATGATGGTCTCCAAACACTTGCTAAGTTCTCATCATAGTAGGGATTCTGAAACACTTCTCTCTTTCCAGATCCTTCCCATCTAGGTAGACCCGAACTACCTCCCTAGCTTTCCTTCCTTCAACTGTCTCCTTTAAACAGTCAGTTTTTATGGGACTCATTAAATATCCCCAAACAGATTAAGGGAGATTGCTATTTTTTTATTAGTCTCTTACTGAAACTTTGTATAATTTTAGATCCTTCAATGGCAAACTGGTTTAAAGTGTTTTTTAAGGATAGCCATGTCCTTGAAATTGGTTTAAATTGGTCTTGGTTCATTTTTTATGACTATGGGTTAAAAAGGCAATACACCATTTAACAGTTAAATCTTAGTTTTTGGTATAAAACTGCCAGAACGTTTGTGAAAAGTGGCCAGTTTTTAAGGTTTAGTGTAGTTTATTGAGTCCTGTGCTGCTGGTGCAATTATCTGTTTCTTCCAACATTGTTTTAGAGGAAAAGCAGCTGCTACACATGACTGGTGTTCCAAAGCATTTGGAGTTGTTGAAGGTGTCGGTCACATCAGCACCACGTTTCTTTAGCACAGCAGTTTTTAGGTAGTATCAGTTTTATGTTGCCAAGTAAAGAAAGCTTTATACCAGTGTGTGTTTTTAAATGGCGTATTCTAAAGCTGATTGCATTTCTAAATGAGATGTCTGCTGAAAACATCTTGGTCTAAAATATGTTTATAACATCAGCATATGACTATAATGACCCATTTTGTAAAATCTTCTTCTGCAAACAGCCTAATCCTTAATTTTGTGTGTTTTCTTTAGTTTATTTTTTTCAATTCCTCTATTGTAGATTCGTAATTGTTACCAGTTGAGAAAATATTTATCTTGGAGGTAACTCAGTGAGGACCACTTGGGTTTCAGGATTCATTGGTGTTCTGATGTCTTTGGAGTGAATTGGGCCCTGCGGGGAGGCCCAACACCTATCTTTCCATTCATCTCCCTCTCGCCTCTCCAGGGGAGCCTCGCTGGCTCTGTAATGAGAACTGATAGACTGTGCTTCGCTCAGTTTTCAAAAGCCACGTCAGTGATTTCCAAAAGAGCCTTCTGAATCTTGAGTCACTGTCTGTAAGGTGGCTGTCCCGAGCATCGCACAGCATTCAGGTGTTGTGCCCTGGCCCCTGGCCTCAGCTGGCTTTCCTGCACTGTCCATGACATGCCTTAAGATGCCAGCTAAAGGCTCTACACTTGAGTCACTCTCCCAAGGGTCTCAGCAAGGTATTAATGAGGTGGCGATGACTATTTTCTATGGAGTTCCCATTGAAAGTCTCTTGCTCACAGTGGCCCCACTGGTGCTCTGTGGTTGCCAAACACCACAAGTCCATGTGGAATTTGGACTCTTATTGTGCAGTGTTGGTAACAGCTGTTCTCAGACCACTTCCTTTGGTGCCACTAGCCCACTCCCACTTACTACCCACCTCCACGTAGCATGCACTTGAGAGCACCAGCACCTCTGTGTGCAAGGTTGCTGTGCTCAACCTGCAGAGGGCCATGTACCTTGCTCCTCTCTGTCTCTGCCTGCATGGTGTTTTAGAGCCAGAAAGTAAATCCCTGGTCAGTGTTGCACATGGGATTTACATTGGTGGGTAGAAAACAAATCCTGAAAGGCTGCTGTGGATCAGATGCGCTTTTCTACTCCAGAGAGCAGAGCAGTTGGATAACCATCCACCTAATCTTGCCATTTTAAAACTTGGTCACTAATCCTGCCTTTGGAGCTCAACGTTAATGTGTTCAAACTTCAAAAATACGCTCGTTTTTAATACCTTTTGGAAGAAAACAGTATCCCCTCCCCCAGATATCTGTCATTATGATATCCTCATTATAATAGAGACCCAGTATTCACTTTTTCTGCAAGTAGTTATGAGCTCCGATTATCTGCTGTGCAAGATACACAGAAAACACAATAAATAAGCGACTACCCTCGTGAAGGGTCCTTTGTATTGTTTTAACCAAAGTTAGAATTTTGAAACTAGAGAAACCTAGCCAAAGACAGTAGTGACTGTAAGAAACATGACAGTCTATGGTAGTCTGTGTCTAGATCTTGATTGAATGAATATAGCTTTCACTTTGTGGGATAACCACGCAGCAAATCCTCTAATTTTTGCAGTTACAAATGACTTACCTATAATTGAGTTCTTCACTGGACAGATAGAAATGTTCATAGAGTGAGTAAGCCTCATTCCCTTCCCAGTCCTTCAGGTGTATCTTCAGCATGTAGCGTTGCTGGTTTGTCACTTGTGAGACAAACTCGTTCCCCAGCCAGTACTCTCCCGAAGGGTTACCAAATCCCTGTGGTCCAAGTGGTAAGATTCAGTTACCTCATTTGTTTTTTCTTTATGTACTTAAAATCAGCAGTTCATCAATTGCCCATGGAATAACAGTCAGATAGCACAAACTCCTTGAACTATGGAAATAAGGGGTCTTTCCTGTAGAAAATGGAGTTTTAAAAGGTCATTTTAACAAAACTAAGCCATTCCTGGAAGATGATTAGTGTTAGAATAATTAGAATTACTTGGGGGAACCACTAGCAGAGACTAGAAAGTGGAATAGCTAAATTTATCAGTGTGAAACCTCATGACAGAGCAGCTGCTCAGAGTACCAGGTGCTCTGTTTTAATGCACAGATTCAGTTCGTTTGACGGGACCATTCTTTAATGGGGAAACTGGAACACCAGTTGAGAAGAACTCTTTCCTAAAATATTTCAGAAATCATTGGTTAATGTAGAATTTGTGGTTAAGGTTCTGAAAATCTTGAAAGTTTTCACAAAAGAAATTATTTCTTTTGAGATGGTTTCAAAAAAAGAAAAAACATACCACTTTATATTCTTTCCATGTCCTCTGAAAATCAACACTGCCATCTTCACGACGCTGAATGACCGTCCAGCCACCTCCACCTGTCTCCATGTCACAGTAGGCCTGCAGGGGGAAGGGCACAATTACTGACCCCGATCTGACCCGGCCCTTCATGTCCGTGATGGAGTGAGATGGCTGTGGACACCCACTTTAAGATGTGCTCTGCAGGGTCTCTGGGATAACTCGGGGTAAATCTCCACTCTTAACTTTTTAAAGAGTGAGTTGGAAACATTTAAACGATGACGATGAAAAATAGGCAGTAATGTAATACAATGTGCTGATGAAAATATGGTCAGCATACGTTCTAGACTAAAGATCCCACCCCATAGTTGACCCAAAGATCACTGATTTTGGGAGTTTCATTGTGAAAGGGGTGAGGAGAGATTGGCTCCAAGCCTTACGTCTCCCACCTGTAGAAAGCCATCAGATTGCCTTGTATTCCCAGCCCTGCCATCCCCGTCCACTCTGCTCTCATATCACAAAGTGCCAAGACTCCTGTCACCTTCTCATGCTGTTGAGCTGTCAGGATTCCTCTGTTTGCATCAAAAACAGGATTTCTGTGTCCAACCATGAGCACAAGGGCCCTGAGGCACCAGCGTGCCAGTACCACTGACCCATGCTTGGCTGGGCAGTTCTGTACCCGGGACTGCCTGTGGTATCATTCTTCCCAAATCTTTATTTCTGCTTTTAAACTGGCTCACTAGGTTCCAACTTTATCCAGAACACAGAATTCTTTCTTGGGTTAAGAGGATGCATGCTTAATTTCAACTCAGCTGGAGTTTTATTATGAAATCAAAGCCCCCTGAAAATAAGGTTGCGTAAGTAATTTTTAATAATTGGATTCTAGCAGGACAAACTAGTTTTCCCGAAAGTAAGATAATTTCCCTACAGCATACAAGGTAGAAAACACTAAAGCTAAGGCTCAAAGCAAAGCACAAATACTCTTCCTTTGTTGTTTTTCGTGGTCTTTTGGAGAATAAGGGAGAATGTTTTGGCAGAATAAGCTTCATGTGAACTGGTCTTATGGATCTTCGGGACAAAACTAAAAAGGAACCAAGAGGGACCAGAGCCTCAAGGAAGCCAAGCAGGCCTCCCTCTCTCATGGAACTAGAAACGTTCCCTGGAACTCCTCTGGGGACTTCTTTCCATCACTGTTCCTGTCTCTGTCCATGAAGATCACTGGCTCATATCGCCTTCCCCAGTGGAAGACCCCCCGTTGGAAAGATGGGGGCCGTGCAGGACAATCACATTTATTAATAAGAAAATCATTTCCCCAGTGTAAACTAATCACATATATAAATTGGTGAAAAGGAAACTTCTTTTGTCACCCTGTGTTGACATTGTTTTTATTATTACTCTTATCATTGAGACAAGCCACCCTTTTCTAAGATATTTTCTGCGATCTCACAGCCGCTCTGCATAGCCTCATTCCTCAATGCGTGAATTTTGACATATGAAAAAAATTTCATGAAAGTTGATTAGTCCGATCCATCACTCAGCTATTAAATAGTGTATAGGATTTGAATAAGGTCCCTTAATTCCTGTGTAAATTTTTCCCCCACTGCTTCATGCTGCCAAAAACAGAGAAACTTGACCCTTTTGTTAATAGGCCAAAAGTCCCTCAAGCCAGCTCCAAGTTGAAATCAGCTCATGGATAACCCTGTCTCTTATTTGCCTGTGGTCAACAAAATGGTCAGCGTTGCTCGAGTCTGTCATTGTCTTTTTAAAAATCCATTTAGTAAACTCACTGAACAAGCTACAATGGTTTGAGGATCCATGTGTATATGCAGAAGTTAATGCTTCAGTATCCTAAGTGGCCTGGTGTTAGCTGAAAGAATCCACAGGGTGCCTAGTGAGCCTACCCTTGTTCTACGAGTATTTGATTCTTCGGTGTCGAATCACCATCATGAAGTTAGTGGTATTTAATGGTATTTACAGATATGCTATATCTTGTTCAGAGGACAAGTTTATTTTGTTATGGGAGTCAGAGGCGAGATTCTCAAATGTCAGGAGTCATTGCCCATGCACAAATGACCTGAGCCATGTCATTTTCTTAATACTTCACCCATATTAAAAAAAAAAAAAAAACAGATCAGAGGATTTATAAAAACTAAAGAATTATGGTTCATTGGGTCATGAAACTCAGAGAGAGTGTTCAAATATTTATCCACATAGCCAGAGGACATTGAGTGAAAATGATGTAGATCTATCAGATCAGAAAGGCAGAAGTACTCAGGTATTGCCCAAGACCTGGCCCTCCAGTTGCAACAAACCTGGAGGCATTTAATACTTTTGCTAAACTTGGCACTGCAGGGCTCAGGGATCTGAACTCTTGCTATAAAGCTTGATGCTGTCAGCAGGTAATGCTTGATTTAAGTGTGGTGCTTCAGCTCCAAGTCTTAGGTTAAATCACTAGCAAACACAGATGAACATTGGGAATCAGGTGTCCTGAGAAACTGAGGGAAAGGAACTTAAACTTCTAACTAGCAAAAGCATTCTTTCATGCTTCTGATGAGTGCTCTCTTGCAATATCTTGTATTAAAAAAAATGACTTTAAAAAAAAATAAATTGTAGTATTTAGATCTTTAGTTAAAAAAAAAAAAAAAGAAGCTCCCCAAAGAGCTACTGTACAGACCCAGGGCAAAAGCTAGAATCTAAACCCAGGTCCATCCAGATCTGTCCCTAGATTGCATTGGGAATTATGGAGTCTTAAGCCTGGAAGGGAATCAGAGGTAACTTAATCTAGACCATTTATTTTAGAGAAAAGTTGAGGTTTTGAAAGATTATTGTTCCCTGCTGTGTAAATGATTTTTTTTTTACTGCAAATGTTTAAAAGGAATATAAATCCTAATGTTTCCAACCGTGACCTGTGACCTGAGACTCACCTAATCCCAGAGTGCTAGATCTTTTCGTCTTTCTACAGAGCATGTGGGTCGTCCAGAGCTGGTATGGTACGTGGGTAGGAACACTCTGTTAGCCACAAAAGCATCCCTGCAGCGGGAGGATGGATCTGTAGGATCAGCGCCTCCCCCAGGATGTGCCCGTCTCCCCTGTTCTGTCCCCATGCTCCCCAGGCCAAGAATATGCAAACATCTGGTGACACACAATCACATGCAAAACATTGCCATGAAAACCAGATAGCAAAGGTAGGGGGGTGGGGGGGGGCGGTGAAAGGCTTAGCCTTGAGTTCATAGCTTTCCATCTACAGCAGACTGCTTTCTTTTTTCCCTCCTCTTAATGCACTGCCTTCTGGCCTCTAGGGACATTAACTGATTTTCAAGGTTGGTTTAAAGCAGCATGAATGAATTAGAACAATTTCTTTGGAAAGTATTATCTTAAATAGCACTGTATTTATCTTTTAATTCATAATCAAAGTATATGTTACTGTTTCAAATTCCACATCTTTAAACCTTTAAATGCTTGTGTTTTTCTTTGATACCATGTTAAATACTGAAGAAAATAGTGACTTCAAAAAAGATACAACTTCCAGGAGTCTCTAAAATCTCCATTTTGACATAGTACCCAGTGCTTTTTTTTTGTAGAGTTGTTTTTGTTGGTTCAATATGTAGCTGCTTCTAATTATTTTATTTTTTGGTACTGGGGTTTGAAATCAAGGTCTTGTGCTTGCTGCACAGGCTCTCTAGCACTTGAGCCCACCCCCAGCCCTTTTCTGCGGGAGGTATTTTTCAGGTTGGGTCTCACACTTTTTGCCTGAAGCCTGCCTCATACTGATCCTCCCATCTACATCTCCCAGTAGCTGAAACCATAGGCACATACCACGATGCCTGGCTTCTTGAGATAGGGTCTCACTAACTTCCCTGTCCCCACCCCTCCTACCCCAGGCTGGTCTTAAACCATAATCTTCCAGATCTCACGCCTGGCATGGTTTTCCTTTTACATACAGCCATCTTCATACACGTTTAGTGAATACAGCCATCCTAAGTTTCAGAGTCCCTCACACTAATTCTCAAGCAGGGCTATTCTACCTCATCAGACCTCAGAGAGAAGCCACACTGAAATATTTCCCGGGAGAGTGATTCTCTTTAACACATCTAAAGCTCCAAGACTGCTTAGTCTCTCAGGAGGCATGCTCACTGAGTAATGCAGAATATCTGGGAAAGGTCAAGTTCGGCCATGCGGAAACTTGGCCTCTGGAAAGTGCTGGTGGCTCCTGCACTCTCCCTGCGGTCATGGAACCAGCACCATGAAGTAAGCTCCCCGTGGAGGGGAAGATGAGGAATCGCTCTCCTGGGTGGTGTGTTCTAGGTCTTCCAGCTGTTACTTAGTCCATAGCCTGCCCAGTGGCCCTTCCAGTATGGACTGGGGACCTTGTCTGTAGGTCTGAAAGGTTGTAGCTGAGATGTCCCTGGCCTGTGGCACTGTGTTGGTGTCTACACTGCACTGAGGATGCAGAGAGTTGGTGGTAAAGTGGCTCGTGCCCTGATGTGAAGCAGGCAGAGGCAGCACACTGCACTGGAGTCCCTACGATCTGCAAGGCTCACCCTCAGCATAAAGAAAAGAAAGCCAGTAGTACTTAAAGAAGCCTTCAGTAAGGCAGTAAAAGTTATTTTTTGTTGTTTTTGGTTTTTGTTGTGATAGTCTTACTATGTTACCCGGTTGGTCTTGAACTCCAGGGCTCAAGGGATCCTTCCATCACAGTAATAATAAATGACAGGGGAAATATGTACAAATGACTTCAGCATACCAAAATGCCACCATTGTCTCAAATAAGTCGCATTTGCCTGATTGCTTTAAGTGTGAGCTGGAAGAGCCTGGCAGGTTTTTTGTTTTGTTTTGTTTTCCTTATGGAATTCAGCCGTTGCTTGAAAGATGATCAAAAGACAAGCTAATGTGTGGAAATACCTCAATGAAACCCCTTACTTTGTGCACGCATTATACGCTGAGTGAGGCTGGGGGATGAGTGGAAGCTCTGCTCAGGAAGGGGATACAGTTAGAGAGAGTTACCTTTATCTCGTCTGTGGAGTTCGGGAACGTTAGCACATAGATACCGTTGGCGGTGTGCCCCGATCTGAGCACTTCAGCACAGTCTCTGAAAACAATTCGTTCTTCTTTGGCAGCAAAGGAGTTCTTCACTGTGTTTAGAAAACAGTAAAGCATTTCATTGGAGTTTGTGAAAAGATGGAAGCTTGCTTGTTATTTCAGGACCCAGTCATGGGGTGAATTTGAATACACTGCAATTCTTCTATTAGAATTCCTATTAGGCCAGAAGCTAGGCCAGTTTTTCACCTTCCTCCAAAAGCCACCCTTTCAGCAAGCTTTCTATTAATTCTGAAAGATGGTTACAAACAAGCCAAGCTTCCCTTTTTAAATCATCAATAACATGTAAAACAAGTACTTCATAATAAGCTATTACTTTTTGAAAATTTCCTGTCTTGAGTAGAATTGGGTAAACTTATTACAAAAATTTTTATTTAAAAAGAGACTATAGCTAAAACAGCGCTACCTCCACCTCGGCCCCATTGCATGTCTCTTTAGGGCACTGTCCCAGCAGAGCTAATGTATGCCTTTCTTTCCTTTCTTTTTCTATATCTGAGGCTAAGCCTTTTTATTTTAGAGTATTGGGTGGAGACATTTAGTGTTTTTTGGATCTTTAGCAACTACACCATAACAGCTTACTTTTTAGAGGAACATAACATTTATTTACTTGTGTGTTTTACCTTTTTCTAATTCTAAAACTTGTAAGTCTATTAAAATGCCTTCAGTTTTTAATTCTGCTCTCAATGCTTGGATTTCCCGTTCCTTTTTGCCACATTTTTTAAAAAAACGTGTGTGAGTGTGCATGTGTGCACACATGCTTGCATCTCTGTGTTTCATTCTAGAGCCTGCAGTGCACAGGTTTCCGTGCTCCAGGGGGTGCAGGCAGGCATCACAGGCAGACAGAGGCCGTCTTTACTAGCTAGCGAGCTGCCCATATGTAGGAGGAAGCCTGTTTTGGTGCTCCTTTTTGCCAAAATCTGAGCTATAAGGTTCTCTCTGTTTTGGCTTATCAAATTGGTGGCTCACGTTATCAGTCCCACCAAATGCTGTCAGATGATTACCTTTTCTTTTTCTATGAATATAGTAAAAGCAAGATGTTTCTAAGTTGGAAGAGAGTGAAACGAAACTCCTATTTGGAAAACATTCTGTCAAGTGTCACCCTGCACTTATGTCAGGATTGTGGTCCTATTGCTTATGTACTTGGTTGGATAGGCACTTTGTTTAGTGCTTTTGTTGAAATCAAGATAACTACATCACTCGAGAAAAATAGTGGGGCGTGCTTACTTTTTGAAAGTGAAGAGCACATTATTCACACCCATGAATCCACATGACTAACACACAAAGCATATCTGTGTCAAGAGTTCAAGTCGGAAGGACGTTTTGAAAACCACAGTAAGAATTAGATCAAATTTGGTTAAGAAAAAAAATCTTAAAGAAAAATGACACAAAGATTGTATAGCTCATCTTTAATTAATGACAACATTCTTCCCTTCTTCTCTCCTGTATCCAAGAAAAGCTAAAAGATAAAACAGTAGTAAAGAAGGTGAAGTATGCTGAAAGGCCTGGCTTCACATGGGCCCTGGTGTCTCCTTAGTGACAGTTTTATCAGTCACTGGAAGTGTTGTCTCACTTAATCTCCTCATCCATCCTATAGACCTGGTTGTGTTGTTCCCATTTTAAAAACAAAGAAATGAAGATCTGTATGGTTTAGTAACTTCCCAGCCTCATCCATCCAACTAACGACACGATGAGTTCAAAGTAGGCTCTCTACAGCCTTGAATCAAAAGTATTTTTGGGGTGTTTTGCTTCGTGATAAAAAATTAATATAATGTATATTTCCTCTCCTCCTCCTGTTCTACTTTGAAACCCTTTTGAACTTGCATATGAATTATACAAGAGAAATTGTAACTTCCCTGAAAGATAAGAATTGGTAAGAATTTTGGGAGTTCACTGAAGAAAAAGTGAGCTGTAAACTCTACTTACAGTTTGATGTTGATATCATGGTCAATAAATTATTAACGGTCTCCATCAGATCGTGTTGCTGCTTTTGGAGGACTGAGTTGTTCACGGTGGCAGTAACTAACTGTTTCTCCAGTTCCTCGAGGACAGAGTTTTGCCGTGATACCAGCACTTGGAGCTGATCTTTCTCCTCTTTTATCGACTGCAGTTGTACTACATGTTTGTCTTCCATGTCTAGCACTTTCTTTTCTAGGAAACTTACGGGGAAAGTACTTGTTAGTTAGTGCTAGGAATTCTAATTGTCACATGACCATCAGAGCCAAGTGCTTTATAAACATCTAATCATTCTCATAATTCTAAGAAAATCTTTTATACTTATTGCATTTCTATTCTGGTAAAATGTAATTGAAGTTATAAAGTAGTAAGATTTGTCTCAGTCCTCTCAAACTCTCAAACTTGCTGAGATTAAATACATACATGTGTATATGATGTGTCTATATAGATGACGTGATGGTAAACCTTGCTAAACAGATTAACCTGTTTAGTCAGAGGCTTCCTCTGATAACTCATTTTGAGTCTGGATTATATCTTACCTTCCATCTATTTATTACATAATCCTTTTAACAGAGATGTAGTGAGCACCTACCACATGCATGGTGTTTTTTAGGTTTTAGGAGAAAAATTAAGAGGTGAAAATATGAACCGTAATCATGAAGCATAAATTCTGCAAATTCAGATATCTTGATGGTCTTCAGACCGACCAACTGAAGTGAAAAAGCTGTGTATGTCCCCACTGATGGAGAAATACCCTTATGAAACTGAAACATCCCTAATTAGGAGTTATCACATGGTGTGTATATGAAGACCATGTAACACTGAGAAGTCTTCAGTGTAACCAACACCTGTGGGTAAGTGGAAGGAGCATCAGCTGAGAGGCCACCTCTGCTGGTGGCTACACGGGCAGCCTTGGGCAGGCCACCATTCTGAGGACTTGTCTAACAATCCTATTCAGATAAATCCATATCTAAAATGAAGACAATGGACTGATAACCTCAAAGACCTCTTCCAGTTGAATTTATCAAGGTACATATTCTCCTTTTTTTTTTTTTTGGCAATAACATTTTCTGACTCTTTAACTCCGCAAACAACATCAACCAACCAAGAAGCTAGGCTACCCATTACAAATCTCGTCCATATGTATTAATAATTAATAAGTATTAATAATTATTATTAGAAATTTAATTATAGCTCTTACGTTATTCCACAGCCCTCTCTGGTCATTACAGATTTATGGTGGTAAATATACTATCAATATACTAATAAATAGTCCATTATTGTAACATAGACATTTCCATTAGAATTTTACCAGTTTAGTATTCTAGTGTTCAACTATTATTTCTTAACATTTTTCCTGGTATTAGCTATTCATTTTAAAAGAAACTCATATAGCACTTTCATTAATTTGTAAATCAAGATGACTCCAGTAAGTAAAAGATAAGTGCATCTTAAAATAAGTGCATAGATTTTTTTTCCTGCTTTCCACCTAAATTCATTTTTAGTGCCCAGCACTCTGAAGTATGCTTTGGGAACCACTCCTGTAGGGCTTGATCTAGAAAATTAACACAAGAAACATCGGGCACCCTTAAACCATTCATCTTCATGCCTTCACAGTGCTGTCACTGAGATTGGCTATCCAACCTCTTGTTTTTAGTAATCTATGAGAGAGGCACAAAAAAAGGATGTGCATTTGCACAGTCTAGAGTGTGAAGTGGAGTTCAGTATCTTGAGATGGACAATTAAAAAACAACTACTGCTTCTTTCTCCCACAAGCCTATACCAGTACTGCTCCAGAGGGCAGTCGTACCCTGATCTGAGAGATCTAATCTTAAGATTAAATGCAATCATGTATTTAAGAATGAAACCCAGCATTGGGTCATCCCATTCCAGACTGGCTCTGAGAGCAGTGAATTGAATGAATTCAACAGACAGCTTGCTACATTTAAAAAACCGTTAGCAGTCTTGGCAGTCATATTGTAGAACGGAATTTTGCAAAATGCAGATCAGGACCCATTAGTGGCTTGTGGTATCAATATAGTGAGTTGCAACCAGTATTTTTTAATGAAATAAATGGGATTAAAAAACAGATGAAAATACAGAGTAACTTCGTAGCAGTTTATGTATTGTTACAAAAACCATGGCCAATTATTGACAAGCACTGAAGTTTAAAAGGACACAGAGCATTGACTGGTAATAATTCATCTGATATTTTGCTTACCAACATCTTACTTAGCTTTCAGATGTAGGGTAAGTATGATCACCGTAAAAGTTAGACTTAGGTACAGCTTCATTTTATATTAGAACAATTCATGGTTGAGAACTGTGGGGAACTGCAATGTTGGCAGAAATATCAAGGGTTTGAATCACATTTGTTATGATTTGGATATGGCTTGAACATGTGCTCCAAACATTCATATGTTGGAAGCTTGATCCCCATGTGGCAAGGTGGGAGGCAGCAGAACCTGTAACGGGTGGGATATAGGGGAAAGTCCTTAGCTTGGGGGAGGCGGGGGCTGCCTTCGGAAGGCATTAAAGTATGTCTCTTGGGACCTCTGAGCCCTCGCCAGAGTGACGTGAGGGAGCCCACCCTTGACTCTGCATGTGACCTCTTCCTCCCACAGGGCTCCCAACATTGTTACACATCTGCCATGAGGTCCTACTGCAGCCAGTCCCGAGGGGTTGGCCTGCCTCAGCTGTTTCATTGTAGCCATGAAGACTGGCGAGCAATCTTTCTATTATGAGTCTCACTACATCTCTTCCAAAGGGGAGGGAATCAATGAGAACATGGCTCACGGCCAGTTATTTAAGTGAACTGGTACAGGTGGTCCCTAAGTTAACCGTTTATTTTTGGAAGAAAAAAAAAAGATGAAAAAATGCACAGTAATTTTTGTATTAAGTATTTTGACTTAGTTTAAGCCTATTCTATAACCAAAATAATACTTGGCATAATTGAAGGTTATTGAAAATAGGGTTTGTCAAATGTGGACCACCATTCACATGTCTTTGTAATTATGTTCTTGAAAAGAAATCTTAGGCCAAAGTTTAAGGCAGGAAATTTACTCATTGAAATATCGAAAATCATAACCAAAATTTTATTTTTGTTTTTTAAAGTTATTGGTGAAGAAACATATTGTTATCTCATTTTTTTAACCAAAGAGAAGACAATTTCTGTAGCTTCTAAGATATTCTTGCTTTGTGTATAGATTTTGTTACATAGGGTTTTATGGCAAACCTTCTGATAGAAACTGCACATTTTTGTGCCTGTCCTAACTCTAACTCTGAGTTAGATTTTTTTTTTCAACCTAAATAGTATAGCACCACTTTTGCAGGGCACATAAAATTTTTGTTTTCTTAGATATGTTTGATAAGGTAATTTTATGGAGAAAATGTTGTGCTATTTAAACTAACTCATAAAGCTAGATTTGAATTACTAGAAAAGTACATTATTGATCCATGTAAATTAAACTAGGGGGAAAATGTGATGCTTTTCAGTGTAAAAAATGTAAAGAATCTTAAATTTTCAGAAAGTTACAGAGTGGTTAATCACGATTCTATGCATTGTAAAACCTTGAATGCAAGGAAATTTTTGCCAGGTCCTGACATGATCAAAAAAAAAAAAAAATGTGGTAAAAGTTGTTGATTGTATTTCCAAGGAGTTCTCCGAATAGCTGACTTTGTACCGAAGTTTGCCAATTCTAAATGAGTCTGAACCAAGGAATGAGTTCATTCTTCTAAAGTAAAAAACAATGTGATTTGACAAAAACAGTTGTCCCTTCATGTCCATGAGTTTTGAATCTGGATTCAACCAACCTTGAGTTGAAAATATTTGGGAAAAATGTGCCTGTGTACTACACACGCATAGACTTTTTTGCCTTGTCATTATTCTCTAAACCCTAAATTACATTAGCTGCTGAAGTATCTAGAGATGACCAACCTATATAGGAAGATTATGTAGGCTCTATGCCAATACTATGCCATTTTATATAAGGGACTTGGGCATCCATGGATTTTGGTATCTGAAGGGGGACCTTGAAACCAATCTCTGGTGGACAGTGAAGGCTGAATTTACAAAGAGGCATTGGATGACAAAATTGACACATTTTACTGGCCTTGAAACCTACAGGGAGAAAGTGATTAGTGCTAGGATTTGTTCAATAAACCAGGCATGTCTCTGGCTTCTGAGAGACATGCACACTATGGTAAAAGTAACTACCAGCTTTGACGTGTTTCCAACATTACTCTAACCTGAGACGGGCAACATTGCCTTAGCTCATTATTGGTCTCAAACTTACATTTCCTACTGTACAGAAGAGAGATTTTGAAACATGAATGAAAAACATTTGGCTAAGAAAAATCTACGCTTGGGGGCATGGCTTAAGTGATAGAGCACCTGCCTAGCAAGCACAAAGCCCTGAATTCAAATCCCAGAATCACCCCAAAAGTGAAGAGGAAAAATATATTTGCTTTTCATCCCCTAAATCAATAATCAGTTGAACTTGAAACCCAAAGAACAGCAGGATAATTGCAGTGTCTTTAGTTCGTGATTAAGATTGATTATGAAATAATATTTTCCTCATTTCGGGTTAAGACTGGAGGATTATTTAAATTGTGAAATAGAAGGACTATCGTCTTGTGACTGCTCTCCATGTCAAATGCATGTCTTTATTTAAAACAAGTACATGTGCAAAATTACTTTCACGTGTCCCTGACTAGAGTAAGCCTATGACTACAGTCCCCACCTAGCACCTGAAATTCTTCATTTTTGTATTGTTTATCTTAGGATTTTTCTACATTTGATTTAAATACTAATGCCATCATTGAACAGTAACTTTTGGTTTTACTTTTTCGTAAGTTTTAAAAGGAAGTATGGCGTGACATCAGGAAACACATTCTGACTTAATGCAAGTGTAGTTTTCCTACCGTTAATCATTTGTGTTGAAGGAAGGAAAGTGCCCCATAGGGAAGTTGGTGAAGTTAGTATTAAAGTGCCTGTAAGGCAGTGTTACTCCACACATGAGCTGTGTTTTCATAGGTAAATCTGCATGGTATTTAGACAGTTTGGAGGATTACTGTCAGAAGGTCTTTAAGGGACCAGAGAATGAAAAACAAAATCCACGGCTGAATTAGAAGTGCATGATTTTTCTCAAAATCTTCTGCCTGTCTTTTCTTCACAAGGTTTCTGATCTGTATACTGTACATGAAGGAGTCCATTGTTTTGGAAGTCACACTTATAATTAAGTCACATGAGATAGGTTTATATCTGGAATTATGAATTACAAATATTTTTAACTCTTATTACCTGTTCTTATCTTGCAATTTGTTTATTTCACTGGTCTGGTCCAAAATCTGTTTTTCCAGTTTGTTCGTGGAAAGGGAATGTTCCAAGAGCTGAAGTTCAAGCCTTGTTGTCTGATTTAATACCTGCACATAATAAAATGAGAGTCCTAGTTATCGCTTAATCAGTGCACTTTTATTACTTCCTTTTAATTCAGTTATCAAAAGTATCAGAAAATATAATACATTATTTATTAGTCCAAGTGTCTTATTTTGGCATGTTTTTCACTTTCAGACAAGACTTGGTGCCTTGAATTGCCTCTAAGCGTGTTAAACTTTTTCCATGTTTTTATTTAGAACATGTTTAATAGTTCTGTACAATAGCATTTGTGTCAAATACATAATACCATTTTTCTACTTCTGTGGTATTTTATTGTTTCACATAATGGGTCACATGGGAGTACAAAATGGCTGTATTTTATAAATCAAGTGTTATGGACAAATCAAAAACATTTTCCTTATTCTCAGATGAAATACTGTTCTCATGGTTATTTGTCAGTAGACAACAGGATGAAGGATCACAAGCTCATGTTTAAACTGGCACTTCCCAGTTCGTGTCCACTTGTTTAGTGTTTTCCTTTTTCTGCCATTTTTCCTTTTCCTATTTGAGAATTCTCTTCAACCAATTAGGGAGCAATAAAATCTCAATACAAAGTGGAAACCCAGTTTTGCACCATGGGCCTTTCTGAGGGGTCACATAGGTGGGCTCCTTTTCCCACTGTGATCAAGCATCTTTAAAGACGGGTTCTTTAGTGTCTGGCTGCCTTGCAGCAGGAAGAATTGATTACTCACATCCTGTACCATGGTCATTCAGGATGTGATGTCACCTGTAAATGTAAGTCAGGATTGTTGCCAAGGAGTCAGGGCCCTGAGGAGTCATCGTTTGCTGGGTGTCTTTGTGCCTCATGGTGCAGGTCTCAGGGACAGTCTGGTTCTTAGTCCCTGCGGTTGAGCTCCTTGCACAAGAGCTGCTCTGTAAGTGAGTAGTAACACCTGGATTATAGACTTGAACTGCATCTTCTTTGGTGCAAGCATCCCATGTTGGTTATTTCCCAGAAAGCTGGGAAATCAGCTCCTCTGTTTAATTAACTGAGTGCAACTCATTTTTCAAGGCAGAGAAGGATGCAGATAGATCCTGCTTGACTGGGAATGACTGCGGTGTTTCCCACATCCCTTCATCTGAAGTCATATAGCTGCACAGATGCCAAGGCAGTCTTCAGGCGACTGTCCAAATTGTCCAGGTCAGATCATTGTTCCCTCTAACATCTCAGACCTCCAGCCACCCATCAGAACCCAGGTCATAGTCTCCCACTTGGACAGGCTGGAAGAATCTTGAGTCTAAGCTGAAGTTTCCACAGTGGAGTTTCAACTATTTCATATAAGCAAATGCCTCCAAGTGAGTTGGGTTCCTAATTCAATCTCTTGATGTCCTTATGTAGGCTCAGCCATGCCACTGTATTTGAACTTTATGGACTGTTTTCTTCTCATCCATTTTCCTCCTATTCTGGGCCATAAGAGAACCAATTCATAATAACTTTAAAAAAAATAATGTGACCCATAAAAGCACATTAAATCCAACTTAAATAGAACGTGGCAAAAGTTTACATGGTTGGTATATATCTTAATTGTTTTTTGTTACTATTATCTGAAAACACAAGAAATGTTATATTTATGGAACATTTTTTGGATGAGCCTGAGCTGCCAGGTTTATTATCAGAAAGACAGGGAATGGCCCTAAACCATTGCTAGTTGATTTTACTCATTTACCATGGACACATGTTATATTTACTTCTAAATTCTTTTCATCTTTAGCTTTTATTACTAACTAGAATTAAATTTTAGTATCTTATACTATTCTCCACTGAATAAAATATTTATTTCTTTATTTTGTTCCTAGACTGATCTGATATTGCTTAAAGACAGTAATCAAATGATTTGTTATTCTAGCCTATTATAAAAATTGTTAGCCTACTGTCACTTTCCTTCTGTTTTCTCTACCTCACCCAACAGTTTTTGGACAGTCAGTCAATGAAAAGCATGTACTATTCTGAAAGTCCTGTCATTTCTCCTTCTTCACATTCCATCCTGACTGACGTCTAGTAGTTGTTGGTTCTTTCAGCTGAGGCAGCACAGAGGGACAAAATGTAGTGGAAATGGTTTACAGTTAAATCCACCATCTTTGAAAGCATTGCTTATGGCTCATAGTACAAAGGTGCTAACTTCATAACCTACAAAGGAACTCGGAGTAGGAGTCAGAGAGCAGACTCCTGGAGAGGCAAGCCTACAGTACAGCGGAGCATGGAGCCCGTCCATAAGTCCACCTGAACCTCTTCTTTCGCACCTGGACTGTTCTTACTGGGTCACAAGTTGTGTATGACTAAGCATGATTCTGGATGATTTTTTTTCTATTGTTTTGATATTTTAATATTTTGCTGCCCTTTGGTATTTTCATTTGTATATTCTTGTTTCTGCTACTGTTAAGCAGTAGCTCACAGAACCTTAAGGCTGAATGAGAACCGAGCAATCACGCATGACCCAGCTCCTCACTGTGCAGTTAGAACCACTGAGGCACTGCTGAGGACCAGGCCTTGTTTAGACTTATGTGCCAGCTTGCGGAGGAAGGGGACCGTGGCAACACTCGGGCTCTTGGCTCATGGCCACACCTGAGTTCTGTTGTGCGCTGCTTCTCACTCTTCCTTCTGTTTCTTTCTCTATAAAGTCAGTCCACGCATTGTGTTCGACTCCAGAGTTAGATTTAAGAGTAAAGTTTCTAGCTCTCTGCCTCAGTGATTTTGACTTCTCAGATGCACAGAAACAGTGCAGGACTTGGAAATGAAATGTATCTGCAGTCCACCAAAGACCTGTGATATTAAGGAGCATTCTTCTTGCAGTAGTCAGGTACAGTACCATGAAAATGACGAGAGTGCCCTGAACAGAACAAATGTAATTTAATCACAGTGGAAAAATGAAAACGTATCTGCTGACTAAGTCCATAAGTAGCCATAAATTCCTGGTTCCTTAGAAAGTGGCCAAGTGCTGTCCTCTAGCCGGCTGGACCGTGCGTGTGAGAGTGTGTTTCTTACTCACCTGGGCCTCCACGTCCGTTAGTTTCCGTGTCTGCTCTGCTGTTTGGTTTAGCAGGTTCGTTCCTATTTCTATCATCACGGCGGTCTGATTCTGCACTGCATTCTGTTGAATCTCTACCATTTCTTTCTTCATGTTGTCCTGGATATAATTCTCCAGCTGGAAAAGAACAGATGTTAGAAAGGTAGTCGTTAGTCAAATGACCACAAACCTTATTCCTAGTATTTGTCATCTTTTCCTTCTCTTTAAAAAAATGAGTCCAGATGTGGTGGCTCACTCCCGTAATCCTAGTTGCTCAGCAGGCAGAGATTGGGAGAATTATGGTTCTGGTCCAGCCAGGGCAAAACATTTGCAAAATCCCTATCTTAACCAATGGCCTCGGCCTGCACCTGTCATCACAGCTACATGGGAAGTGCAAATTGGAGAATTATGGTCCAGCCAGCATGTGCATAAATGGAAGATTCTATTTGAAAAATAGCTAAAGAAAACAGGGATGGGGGCATGACTCAAGTGGTACAGTACCTGCCTTGCAAGCACAAGGCCCTGAGTTCAAATCTCAGTACCACAAAAAAAAAAAAAGAAAAAAAAAGTATTTGGAGACCTGTGCCTTCCCCTAGTGAGAAAATCAATGTGAAGTAGAGCATTTCTCTCTTAGGGCTAGGGCTTCTTGCTGACACAGTTCCTAACTGTGTCTTGTGACTGACTGTTAGTATGTGGTCCAAGAATGAGTACTAGAATTATAAATTTACTGCTTCTATTGCTTGTTTGCTATTGACTCTGTGCCTCCTCCTGTCTGCTTCCGTCTCCCCCCATACCACTTAGCCTGATAATTAGTGGTCACTCCTTTACCCAGCAGTTTGTAATCCCTGTCACCATGGGACTGATGGAATCTGTGAGGTTAAGGTTAAAGCCAGGCCATCAGAGGAGTTGTCTGCGTTACTTAGTTACTTTTAACACCCAGCAAAGACAATATTTACAAAGATTGATTTTGGGAAGTTTGGAACTACAAAGATGTACTCGAGCTGTAGTTTAGTTTAGACCCATCCCCAAGAAACAATAATTTACAAAGTAGTATAAATAAAAATGTTAACCTTCATTTTTATTTCAGTATTTAAGACTTAAGTAAAAAAATAATTCCGTCTTCACTCTCTAAAGCACATAACTAGAGAGGGAAGACAAACTCTTCAGACTTCCCTCCCATTTTCCGAGCAACTGGGTCAAATGTGGTTTCAACTGTCAAGAGTCATGAGAGGGTTGTTTAGAATTTGAATATTTAAAGTTGAGTTCCAATTTAAAATTAGACTTAGCATCTTTAAAAGACATACAGGCCTGGTCTTTTAGAAATAAAACTTCTTTACTTTATTGCTTTAACTTTTTCTAAGCTTGAAAGCCAAAGAATACTTAAATGTTTTTAAAATTACCATTGGTCAACTATTTTTGATAATAAAGTGTATGCGAGTGTAAATCTTAGAATGACTGCAAATTCCAGACACGTGTATATGTGCTACGTATTTGTATACAATGTATATAATTCATCTGTGTACAACATACACAGTTTTTGAAGGCATGTATCATTTAAATAAATTCCATATGATCCTGACCTGATTGCTAAGAGTTGAAGTCATTGGGAGAAAAATTAAACAGAAACATCAAATAATAGACATTTTACATTGATGTAAGAATTTTGTGTTCTTATGCTGAAAGTAGTGAAATTAAAGGTATGAGAGAAACGTATGACCTGATAGCTGGTTTCTTTTGCAGAACATTTGTTCTTCAGAAGCATTTACACCAGTAACAGTCACAGTAACAAAGGTTAATGTTATTGGTCACCTGCCATGTCTCAGCTGCTCAGTAAATCTTTTGGGGGCTGGGGATTCCAGGTGTCTAATTGCATGCTGGTGTTTGTAAACCAAACTTAGTCCCACCCAGAGGCCACGTCCAGCATTGCTCTGCCTTTTAGCCATCAAAAGTGGCGACTGTCTCAAAACTGGCATGAGCGTGTCTTCCTGTGGTGGGTTCCACAGTGTCTCAAGGAGCAGATGGACTGACTGCCACTGTTAATGACCATTTTTACCAACAAGAAATCCTGGAATTAAAAATTACCAGTGCCAGTTGTATCTCCTGAGAGCATCATGACAAAAGAACCTGTGGGTTTTTTTTTTTCTTCAGAACTCTTACTAATTGTTACAGATAGGAAGAACATGAAAGCTTATCATATATTATACAAATGTGCATCTCTTATTTAATGTGACCTTGCAATAAAGTCACCACGTCTCAGGGAGTGTAAGACCCAGTCTAGAAAGGATGTCCCTTTGGCTGCCGCACTCTGAGAGCTGTACCTTGAGATTTCTCTGTTTCTGGAGTTCGATGAATTGGTTCTTTTTTATTACCCTGAAATATCGTTCTGGTATTTGTTTCTCTTATTTTTATTGTCTGTGACTACCACCCAGAAATACAAAAATCTGCCCAGTGAAATTCGTTTCTGGTGTAAGGAAGTCTTAGTGCAAGAGGGGAATGAGGTAAATAGGGCTGTGTGCTTGACAGCTGCTTCCCTTCCTTCCCACTACACCTAGCTGCACTTACCAAGAGCAGTTCTAAGATACCTTAGCCTCCTCCCTCCCGTGGGAAGGGACATGGTTCTTTCTAACGCCACAAGCACAGCCTCACATATTCACGTTTTGCAGGAGCGTTTGACGTTATCTTTATTTCTAAAGATGGTTATGCAGCGGGCACAATTGTGAGAGGATACCATGCACATGCTTTGTCCTTTTCTGTGTGGCTGAAGCACTCTTGCAAATGTGGAGCCTGGAGCTGCTCCTCTTTGCTCAGAAAACACATGGATTTTCCAAATTTCACATCTCAGGGCTGTAGCTGGTGTTATTTTGCAGTTGCTCAGATTGTTGCAGTGTTGTTTGATTTATTTAAAAGAGCTGCACTCCTAACAGCCTTTAAAACTTTAATATTTTAACACAACACACACACGCGCGCACATGTGTGTCATGTAAAATATTCTGGAGTTCTTTATTACTCCCTAACCTTTTGAATGATCAAAATTGACAGGAAAAATAAGACCATTTGTGATGCAACTATGGCAGATCGGTTACACATTAAAATGTTCCTCTGGCTATCTTCCTTACCACAATTATCATCCTTTTTTTTTTATACCAAAAGAAAAGTCATCTTGCAGTTGCTGGGGAAGGAAAACATTGATAGTATACAGAAATTATCCAAGCTTGGGGTTCTGATGTTGGTCCCTGACCAACCTTGCTGCTTGTTTCTACTCAAATAAAGCCGAGTCCTCAATTCCTTTTCACTAGCTAGTTTTTGGCTATTTGAGGAACCTAATTTTCCTAAAAAATTGACAAATTATCTGAAGTTTACTTAGAAACATTTCACTCTAGCATCTAAATCTGTTAATGAGAATTGCAACTGTTCTCTCTGTCTCTGTCTCTCTTTCTCTCTCTCTCTCTCTCTCTCTCTCTCTCTCTCTCTCTCTCTCTCTCTCTTATTCCCTCATACACACACATACACACACAGGATGCTTTTTATACCTAAGTGATCCCTTCTTCCCACACAACTTATGCAGTGCTCTCTTGTCTGAGTCCTCATGCAGCCCCCACCTTGTCTCCCACCACCCCCACCTTCGGTCAGGAAGTCAAGTGCAAATGTGATCAATCCTTCAGTGGTTCACATTATTCCCTGCACCTTTGCCTGTTGCATGAAGTTCAGATTCCTTCACTTGATAACATACAGGATTGACATCCTCTGATCTCTTTAGCCTCTATGTTAGTCTGTTTTGCATTACTATGACAAAATTCCTGAGGCTGGGTATTTTGCAAAGAAAAGAGCTTTGAGCTAGCTGTGGTGGTACATGCCTGTAGTTATTCAGGAAGTGGAGTAGGAGGATCACAGTTGGGCGCCAGCCCTGGCAAAAGACCCTGTCTTAAAAACAAGCCAGTCACGGTATACATACTTGTAATTCCAACTGCTTGGGAGGTGGAGTTAGGAGGAATGAGGTCTGAGGCCAACCTGGGAAAAAATGTAAGACCTTATCTGTAAAACAAACTAAAAGCAAAAAGGACTGGGGGCTTGGCTCAAAATGTAGCGCACTTACCTAACAAGCAGGAGGCCTTGAGCTAATCCCTTATATCACTAGAAGTGGAGGGTGGGGTGGTCAGGGAAGGAGGGAAGGAGGGAGAGAGCTTTATTTAGCTCACAGTTTGGGATACTGAAACTCCAAACAGCATGGCCCCGAGGCCCTCTCTGGCCACTTTACATCATGATGGCGGATACCATCACAGCAGGAGCTCACGCAAGCGGGAAAGATCCATGGTGAGGCAGGAAGCCAGGGGGACAGCAGAGGAGCCAGCCTTGCTCTGTTACAGCAGTGCTCTTGAGAGAACTAACTAGGGTCCCAAGAGAACTGCCTGAATCCTTTTCCAGGGCAGTACCCCCGTGACCCTCAACTAGGCTTTAACTCTAAGGTCCCACCACCTCCCCAAATTTCCGCACTGGTGACCTAGCTTCCAACACACAAGCCCACGAGGGCACCCTCTGTCCATACTCACACCAGAATAACCTGCTGCTCTGAGCACAGTAGCCTCCTCGCTCTGCCACCTCTGAGACTGCTCTGTCCCTCCCACCTTGCCTCTCCTTTGCCCGGAGTCCTTCCCCTCCTAAGTCACCCCTCCCCCACTGTATTCCCTCATCGGACACTGTTGTATGCTGCATTTTGATACCAAAAACCATTTTGTATTGTCTCATTTATTTTTAAAATCTGCTAACACTGAAGGTTGATATTCGTGTTTGCTTCTGATGCTCAAATTCTGTAACCATTTTCCGTACATACCCTAGGAATGACAGGCAAAGCATTTGCTCTCATAATTAACTTGAAAACTTGACTGCAAGATTATTAAATCCAGGGATATTTGGAAGGCTTTTGACCTAATGTTCTTGGTTCTCTTGTTATGAGGAGACTCTTGAAACATCATTTGAGGTCTCCAGACAAAAGTGACAAAACTGGGCTTTCTTCCCCCCCACCCCACCCCCACAGAGCTGCTTTCTTCATTTTGGTTTTTAAGTCAGAATCTGCTGGCTAAGCAGTTCTGTTCTCTGCAGTGCTGCTGGGAGATGCTGAGATTAAAGGGGAATGGGCTGGG